TAACGGTGTAGGGTTACATTGGTGTGTGTATTTGTCAAAACTTATTGAATTACACACTTTAAAATGGGTACGTTTTATTGTATGCAAATTATGCCTCCATAAAATTGACCTAAGAAAAGAAGGTCCCATTGGATGCAAATGACCTTATCTATAAGGGTATTCACAGCTCCCATCATCATCTGGTCACCTGCCTGAAGGAAGGAGAAAGTGTGCTTAAATAGGGAGAGCTCAGGGCTTCAGGCTGAGGAGAGAAATAAAGGTCTCACCTGGACTAGGTAGTAGCCATTGGCTGAACGAAGTTGCAAGGTGGGGCTCTGCTTGTCACATTCAAACTGGAACAAGGACATTGGGGTTAAGTGCTCTGAGGCGGCGTACACTTCAATATCTGTAGAGGACGAACATGTCAGAAGAGGCCTATGTCCTGGCTTTCTCAGTCTCAGCCCCTTCTCCCCACTTTGTCTTTGAGGTGCCCTTTGCTTTCCCTCCTCAGCCTTGAGCATCTTACATTGGAACGTTGGAACGTACTTAGTAGCCTGGAGAAGACCCAAGTGACTTTCCCCTAAAGCCCATATCCCTGCTTTTCTGTTCTTATCCATGTATCAGAGACTCCATGGGACCCCAGCATCTTTCTTAGGAGAAAGTTCCACATTTCTTGCTGATCCCAAATACGTCTCCCTCTTTCCCACAGCCAGCCCTGTCTCCCTCCCCAGCACTGGGCCCAGCACTTGCCATAGAAGACTGAGACGAACTTCCGTGCTTTGGACTTGAGGCTGACCCAGGCTGGGCAGTGCTGCAGGATGAACCATTCCTCGCCACGGTGGGGAGTGGAGCCCAGGCCCAGGAGCATCCGTGCGCCTTGTGGGTATAACATGCCCCCTTCTCCATCGCTCAGTGCCACCAGCCCTCCAGGCCGCACTTGCATGTGGAAAGTTGTCTGTGATGAGGGCTTGGAGACCAATCGGTCCAAGTGGGACAGGAAGAGGTGTGTTGAGGTCTCCAGGTGGTAGCAGCCATCTTGGAAACGCAGGAGGAAGCCACATTCTTCCAGGCAGGGAACTGGTGTGTCCACCCAGATGCGGCCCACGGTGGGGTCAGCCCGGGCGTAGCAGCGGTTGAGGGGGCTATAGAGGGTCACGTGGACGTGCAAGGCTGGCCGCGGGGCCCACATGTGGTAGGCTGAGAGACCCCTGGAGTTGCAGAACACGTCCTCACCGTCGGACTCCAGATAGCGTCCGGTAACTATGCACTGGAGGGTCCACTTGCCGTTCCGGTGAAAACGCAGCAGGAAGCATCCATGGTGGCTGCTCCTTGGCCTCCCGTAGCCCACAGAGCCATCTCCCTCAGACAGCAGGTAGAGGCCCTGCAGGCTTCGGAGTCGAACCACGGCCTGTGACTCATGTTCATTGCTCACCAGGAGCTCCCACGTCTGGCGCATCAGGAGGGAGAGAAGGGAGATGAGTGGTACTAGGTGACTAAATCCAGAAGTCTAACCACCATATCCAGTCACCCGTGGCATCACCCAGCACCACCTTCCCTCCACACTAGCCCTGGGGTTCTCTGCTGTCAGTCCTTCCATCCTCCCAACAAGCGGCAACCAGAAGGATCTCAGGACACGTCCCCCCCTGGAGCCACAGGGCTTCTCACGACCCAGAGAGAAGTTCTAGATGCCCATCTCCTTCAAGTAGCAGAAGGTAAACCTCTCTCTCCCCTTCTTGACCCACTTCTTTTGATACTTAACTTTCTAAGAAATGCTTTGGTTTCAGCATTGCTTCTTTCTTCCTCACTGATGAAGACAGAGCAGATAGAGCACTCAGCTAACGCCTTTATCCCCAATGCCACTTCCCCAACATGGCAGGCGAAAAGCAAGACTCTCAGAGACAGGGTTAGGCTTCTCTGAGGGGCTCTCTCCAGAGGTGAGAAGGGGAGCATGATAGCTGAGATGCAGACTGGTTCAGTAATGACCAGCTTTGTGGTAAGTAGGGGACTGAACTCTTGCCTCGTTCAGGCAGCCACCCCAGAGGTGCCTGTTGTGTCTTTTGCTAAAACGAAGGCCTGTTCTCCTCAGGCTGCTGAGGGCCCCCCGCCCCCCAACCATTCTTCCCAAACTGCAACCAGAACAGAACCATAGGCCTTGCAGTAACTCCATTGATCTCATTTTCCCTGGACCCTCCAACTATTCTGTGATGACATAGTCCCTCTATGCCAGTGTGGAGGATAGCGACAGCCAGAGCAGAAGGCAGGAAGGGCAGGGCTGAGGCTTCTCATCATGGAATATGTTTAAAGAGGGGAGACAGAGTAATGGAGACCTGTAGGCAAAAGCCTGGAGTGGAAAAGTGTCTTGGCCTGGTGATGACAGAAACGAAATGGGTGAGTAGATTGAGAATGTACCACCCCACCCCCAAAACCTTGCCCACTTAGAAAGTTGGTTCCAGCACAGGTTTGCTTTCTTACCTGTCTCTTGCCCAAACCCTTTGCAGCAGCAGTGACTGTATTCTTAGATGCCTCGTAAGTGAGGTAAGTTCCTGCCCAGCTGATGAGCCCAATCCTTAGGTCCTCGGACTTAGGTGGCCTTTGCATCCACTCTGCCACTTCCATGGGGCTGGTGCTACAGGTGATGACTTGGTCCGGCCCAGCCTTCCCCCCAGTGCTGAGGTTCCAGGGCCATAGGGCCCAGAATGACCCCGGTAGTACCCTCCAGAAGACATCCCCAGAGGGAGTCCCAGCAGAGGTTGGCCCAGGGCCCAGCACCTCTGTGACCCGGGAGCATTGTGACTGTGGGGCTGGGTCTTATCTTGCCACAGTAGGGGAGGGACATTGATAAAACATCAGTCCCTGGCCTGGAGGAAGTGGGTCCAGGGCCTTCACCACTGTCCCCTACTCTAGACAGAGGTCAGCTAAGACTGGAATCAGAAAGGCAGCTGGTGCCATCACCCACTTGTGACTCCAGGCAAGCTCTTCCCCTTCACCTTTTTCTCAATTTGGTAACAGGATAGAAACCAACCACCTTCTTCCCTAGGAAGTGGGTTCTGCCTGCCTCCCTGGGGACCAAAGTGTTTTTAGAGTTCAAGGTATCCACGAAAAACCTATTTAGTTGTGAGGCCTCTGGGATGGTAGGGCCAGCATGCTTTAAAAGCTATTTACTTATTTTTAAAATTTATCTTTGTTGTTGTGAATATACACAGAACATAGACTTCCAAGTCTCTTCATAATTTGGAGGCTTTGATTTCAGGGTGTGTAACCATTATCACCCTCCTTTTCTGAGCTGTCTGCCCCCTCCCTCGACAAAAACTCACTGGCCCCTAAGCTTCCCATTTTGAGCTGCTTCCAACCTTTCCAATTGCTATTGTCAATTTCATGCCATGTAGCATGGTGCCTAAGGCATTTGACTGCTAACTTGAAGGCTGGCAGTTCAAACCCACCAGCCACTCCTTGGAAGGAAGGTTGGGCAATCTACTTCCGTAGTGATACTGCCTCAGAAACCCAAGGAGGGGTTACTATGAGTCAGAGTCAGATCTGACTTCATGGCAGCAGGTTTGGGTTTTTTTTTTTTTTTTTTTTTAATATTTTAAAAGACTATAATGCTCAAGGCAGACATTCTTACTAGTTAAACTATAGTTTTAAGAAGACTTCAGAGAATATTTTTGGTTTAAGTTTAAAGATTATCTATCTCAGGACAATAGTTTTGGGGGTTTATCCAGCCTCCATGGTTCCAGAAAGTCTGGATTCCATGAGAATTTGAAATTCTGTTCTGCCATTTTAAACGTTATTTTTCAGAAAGCGTGGGGAAACCTGAGATAGATACGCAGTGAGGACCAGTTACCCCTAATAATCACAAACGGAGGGGTGAGGCTCAGGACCAGGGTGAGGAGGATGGCCCAGGTTGCGGAAGCAGCCTCCTCATCGACCCCCGGCAGCACTGCTGGTGGGTGGGTTGGCTGGCAGGTAGCGGCTAGAGCTGCCTTTAAGGCTACCAGCCCTCTCCCTTCAGTCTCCATTGGCTAGTCACCTCAGGGACTCGCTTCCTGCAAAGTTCACGCAGAAAGCCCAACTTGGAAATGAAGAAACTGACACATGAGAGAAAGGGACAAAGGCAAAAAGAAATGGTGGTGGTGATGCATTTTCTTTCAGCGGGACCCAAGAGGAAATGGGCAGAGTGACTGAGCCTTGCAGAAGAGCCCACACCCTGGCTCCTGATAGGCACTTCCCTACTCCCCAGAGGCAGGGTCCTCCAGGGGGAAAGAGTCCCAGTGGTGCCCAGCAGGGAACTGTAATCCCCCAGGCTCTACCGTGTTGTAAAACGAGGGTAATAGACAACTAGTGCAGAGTCGCCTGGGAGATCGGAAGGATGTGATTCCTGGGCTTCAGTCCTAATCAATCAGTTTCTGGGGCGTACAGCTCAGGACCCTGCATTGTAAACATATATTCCTTGCCCTCAAATTTCAGTGTGCATAGCAACCAAGAACTGCTCTAAGTAGCTGGGAGAAAGTTGGGAAGGAGTTATGTGGTTTCCAGAACCATGAAGGTAGGCTACTATTACCACCAATAGCAGAGGCCTCTGGAACGAAGGAATGGCATTTTCTCCACTGGAACCCCTAAGTAACCCCAGTCTCAAAAATAAGAGACCTGAGGGGAAGAGGGTTGGCCCTATAGCCTTAGCTGCTTCGAGTTTCCCCCATATTCTCTCTCTGTACCCAATAACCCATCCCCCCACTGCCAGGCTACAGATAACACCGTGTACAAATCACAGCAAATTTATTACCCAATATCCAGTGCCACATCATAGCACCACCCGGAGCCCTCGCCTTCCCCCCCCACCCCCCTTGGCCCCAAGGGTACACCCAAAACGGAAAAAAAAAAACAAAAGCAAACCCAGATCCCTGCTCCTCCTCTGGAAGTGGGGGCCTTGGCCCTGGGAGCCCCTTCACAGGCCCCAGCAGGCAGGATGGACCCCTCTGTGCCCAGAGATCGAAGCTCCAGGCTCCAACAACAGAGAGAACATGCAGGTGGGAGTGGGAGCAGAGGCCCGAGTCAGTGGGGGAGGTGGAGTGAAGGGGCAGGGCACTGCCTGAGGAGTCCGGGAGTCAGTCATCCCGGGAACGCACGCGGGAGCTTCCGGGCAGCAGGGGCCTGCCCCAGCTGGCTAACGCTTCGACAGCTCATGGGACAGCCAGTCCAGCCCATCGTACAGGCCTGTGCCTTGGGTGGCACAGGTGGCCTGGACGTACCACTGCGGGGAGAAGGAAAGAATGAGGTCATCAGTGGGGATGGACAAGGGAAGCCCTGACACCTGCAGCCTGGCCTATGGCTCCCCTAGGAGGTAGGACCCAGGTGAGCTGGGCAGGCTCTCACCGTGCGGCTACGCAAGTGCTGCAGCCCCAGCTTGTCAGTCAGCTCGCTCACGGGCATGGCGTTAGGCATGTCCTGCTTGTTCGCAAACACCAGCAGCACGGCATCCCGCAGCTCATCCTCCTGCAGCTGAGAGGGGAGGAGAGAGGGTGGAACTACGGCCCCTCCTCCCTGCTGTGCTGGGGAGCCCACCTTTTACTTATTCATAGGAAAACAGAACATCGTGGTGTCATCTATTGGTGAACGCAAGAAGTAGAGTTTTAAATCAACTTGGGGCTACCTAGAAGTTCCTGGGTGGTGCAAAGGGTTAAAGGGCTCAGTTATTAACTGAAAAGCTGGAGGTTCAAATCTACCCAGGGCACGTCGGAAGAAAGGCCTGGTGATCTGCTTCTGAAAAGTCAGTCACTGAAAACCCTGTGGAATGTGGTTCTGTTCCGACACAGGAGGTTGCCGCGAGTCAGAACCAACTTGATGGCAACTCCTCTCGTCCGAGGCCACTGGGTCCTCAAATCTAGTAAAGGTCTTTTTAAATTTGAGTATCTGCCCTTGTCAAAATCACAAAAGGTCCAAATGGAAAAGCCATGTAAAGTGATGCTTCTTTCCAGTACATGTAATTCCCTACTCCCCACCAACTTCTCAGATTCAGACACGAAGTGATAAGAATCCGAGCAAAGAGTCCTATGCTTTTTTACCCGTTGCAGACCCAAGACAAGGTGAGCTATACAATGTGTTTACATCCACAGAGGAAAATGGACATTCCTGGCCCTCAAGGTGCTCCCGACTCCCAGCCCAGCCCAGAGGCCTCTCTGTTCCCTCACCATCTTCTGGAGTTCATCAGCAGATTCCTGAACCCGCTCCCGGTCGTTACTGTCCACCACGAAGATGAGGCCCTGGGAGGGAGGCAAGAAAGGAAGGAGCAATCACTTCCCATTGGGACATAACCCCGCCTGGTCCTCCCCTCTTCCTCCTTCTTCAATGTGTCTAAACGTTTCTCTCATCTGGTAACTTTCCACTAAGATTCTGCACATGTCTGGGCACAAGTTGAAGACATCACACTGAAGGGGACAGAGTCTGCCCTCAAGGAGCAAGCAGTTAATTCAAAGATGTACAAGGGAACAAGCATCAAAAGATTCCTCATAAGAGCTAAATTAGGCCCCAGCACCCAGGACCATGAGCTTCTCAGAGAAATCTGAGGTGGCTAGGTCTCAGAAGAAGGCAGTATGGGAGGCTGGACAGAGGCTAGCCAACAAAAGGGGCTGGAAGGAAGAAGGGCTGTTTTCTGGCCCCGGGGTCCAGCCTAGGCCGGCATTTCAGTCCTCCTGGCCCTAGCGCTCCTGCCCCTGGGGTTGGGGACTCCCACCCACCTGAGTGTTCTGGAAGTAGTGCCGCCACAGAGGCCGAATCTTGTCCTGGCCTCCCACGTCCCAGACTGTGAAGCAGATGTTCTTATATTCTACTGTTTCCACGTTGAAGCCTGAAGGCCGTTGGAAAAACAACAAGAGACAAACTCCCATAAGGAAGAAACTCACCAAAACTACTTGACTCTCAGCAATGACATAAACCCAGAGAACCATGACCAAGGTCCAGGAGACCAGAACCCCAGAAGGCCGCTGGTCAACGGCGAGGCCGGGCTCGCCACACAACGACACGCCTCAGGCACTGTCCGGCATGCAGCGATACCATGACCCACTTCTCCAGTGGCGGTATCTGGTGTCCGGGTCAGCTTCCAGGGCGGAGATAAGGACTCCGGGCAGGCCAGGCGCTCCCACTCCACCCGACATCGCCTCCCGGGCTCACCTATGGTAGGAATGGTGGTGACAATCTCCCCCAACTTCAGTTTGTACAGGATTGTGGTCTTGCCAGCTGCATCCAAGCCAACTGCAACGGAAAAGGGCGCAGGGATGGAGACGGGAGCGAGGGAGCCCCCTAGAGCCCAGGAACAAGGCGCTTCCAGGACAGCGGGCGGTGACGGGGGCGGAGAGTCGGCGCCTCCAGGTGCGCGCTGTTCTCAGCCCTTGGGGCCGTGAGGGCAGCCTGAAGGGTGGATGCCAACTCCAGCCCCGAGAGGGGGCTGGGGAGGGAGAGAAGTGGGGCCAAGGGGCTCGGGAGGAGGTCGCGTTCCTTTGAAAAGTCGTCGCTATGGGCGGGCTGGGGCGGAGGGAGCTGCACCCCGCCCAGGCCCGCAGCTCCCGGCCCCAGGCCCCGGGGGCGCCGCTGCCGCTGGGACCCGCCCGAAAGCAGCGGCCCGGGCGCCTGGGAGGTGGGTGGGGCGAGGTCGAAGCCCCGGGTGCGCCGGACAGGAGGGCGCGGGGGCGGGAGGGCTGCTCTGGGCCCGCGCTCAGCTCTGGGCCGCGCGCTTGGGCTGCCTCACCCATGAGGATCCGCATCTGCTTCTTCCCGAAGATCCGCGAGAAGAGCGCGGACACGGTGAGGCCCATGGCGGGGCCCAGGGGCACGGGCGCGGGGTGCTGGCTGGAGCCGGCCGGCCGCGGGGGGATGGGGCGCAGCAGCAGAAGGAGGCGCCGCCGCCGCCTCCGCGCGTCCCGGCCCGCCCTGCGTCACCGTGGCCCGCCCCCGCCGGGCCCTGCCCCCGCTTGCGTCACCACGGTCGTCCTCCGCCGGGCCCCGCCCACGCCCCGCCCCCAAGCTCCGGTTCTGGAGGAATTGAGGCTGGTGATCCGGTGTGTCCGGCGGTGGTTTGGAAGAACCCAGTGCGCCGGTCAGGGCTGAAGTCGCAAAGGCTGTAGCCCGAGCGGGCGGAGGAAAGGCTTCTTGCCTGGCAGCGGCCCCCGCCCTGTCTTCGGTGGCCAGCCGCTGGGACTTCGGTGCATTGCGCCCAGCGCGCCCCACTCTGGACTCCGGTTTAGTCCTTGGCAACCAGCTGCACCAACTGAATGCACCACTCTCCTTGTTAGGTGCTGCTTAGTAGGTTGGACTTAGGGCGAACCATGAAACAGAAGAAAATATTGCCGGGTCCTGCCCCACCCTCACAGTGTTGCTGTGTTTGAGCCCATTATTGCAGCCACTGTGTCAATCCATTTCATTGAGTGCCTTCCTCTTTTTCAGTATTCTTTGCCAAGACTATAATACAAAGGCGCTCTGGTGGTGTCCTGTCTAAGGCGTTTGACTGCTAACCAGAAGGCTGGCGGTTCAAACCCACCAGCCACTCCTCTGAGTAATCTACTTCCGTGGAGATACCGCCTCTGAAACCCAAGGGTCACTGTGAGTGGCAATCAACTGGATGGTAGTGAGCTTTTAGATAATTCAAAGGCATCAATTCTCTGTGGTCTTCCTTATTCATTGTCCAGCTTTTGCATGCAATATGAGGTGACTGAAAATACCGTGGCTTGGGTCAGGTGCACCTTGGTCCTCAAGGTGACATCTTTGCTTTTTACCACTTTAAAGAGGTCTTTTGCAGCAGATTTGCCCAATGCAAATTGTTTATTTCTTGACTGCTGTTTCCATGGGCGTTGATTGTGGATCCAAATAAAATGAAATCCTTGACAGCTTCTTTTCTCATTTGTCATTATGTTGCTTATTTGTCCAGTTGTGAAGAGTTATTTTCTTTTTTTTATTTTAAGAGCTTGTTTTACATTCAACGTAATGTGTACATTTAGTTTCATTCCCTATTTGCCATGTCCAACACTAACCCAATCTCCTCCCCTCCTACCCTGCAACCCTCCCGCTGTGCCCTTCATAATTATGCACTTCTGTTTGTCCTGCATTTCCTCAGTTTGTATGTTGGTCCTCTGGTGTCCCACGGTCTATTGCTCTAATGGATGTATTACCATAGAGTATGTGGGTGCGGCATTCCTAGGTTGAGTGGTCTGCGTATACATCTTAACTATTGGGCTGAGAGCCCGCCCCTGGTGGCGAGTTTTATTCCAGGAGCAGAATGTATTCCAGGGCCATAGTATTGGGAGTCTCGCCAGATTTCATCTGAGCAGTAATACTGGTCATTATTGAGTTTTTGGATTTTGTTCCACGTTTTCCCTCCCAGTCTATCCAGGATCTCCGGATTTGATCCTTTCCTGGGTGGTTGGCATTGGTAGCCGGGCACCATCTAGTTCTGGTCTCTAGGGCCATCATGTCTTAGGGCCAATTGCTTCTAAATGCACTTTTTTTTTTTTTTTTTTTTTCCTTTCTGACACTAGGAAACCATTAGCTGCATCTTAGATGGCTGCTTGAAAGCTTTTAAGACCCCAGTCACTACTCACCAATGTAGGATGTGGAGCAATGCTTTTATGAATTTGTTGTGCCAATTGAGTCTAGTGTACCCCAGTACTATGGTCCTGAGGTAGTAGATCTATTGGGATGTCTGTGAGGAATTACTCTGTGTCTGTCTTCTATTGTTTCTGTAAGGATGGCAGGTATTTTGTATCACTGGTGTTTGTGCAAAATTAGCCTCAGCTGAATCTATCCTTGGTCTAGAGTATACCTCTGTTCATTGACTCTTGTCTGATCATCTCAGGTGTTTATACGTTTATCTGTATAGCCTAGTGTTTGGTGTTAATGGCAATGTGGCATTGTGGACACATTGGCTGGTATTAGCACCTGTCGTCTATCTCTTATGTGGACAATTCGGTGTCCTCTCATTTACCAGTGTTATCATGGTGGTCATATATCCTTCCCGTATATCCCTCCCCCTACCCATGTCAACGTGTAAGCCCCATCTAGCCCAAAATTAATCCCTTCCCTTCCCTCCCCATCCTGGTAACCTACTACTTTTCTTTAAGTTGAAGTGTAACCCATACTGAAGACTGTCTCCGATCTTCAGTACGTGCTTCCAGTTGTCTTCACTTTCGGCAAGCAAACTTGTATCACCTGCAGAGCAGAAATTCTCTGCAAGGGTCTTGTTCCTCCCTTTTGCCTTTTCAACTCCCAGTAAGGAGGTTTGTATATAGTAGGTGGTTGTGAGTAGAGTTGCATGAGGAGTGTGGTGGAAGTGAGGGAAGAAGATGCCCAAGAGATAGATGGTGCACATGATTCCTTAAAATGCCTTCTTCACGTCTTCCCAATCAGCAGCACCAGTGGAAGCTCCAGGCCTTAGTTTAAATCTGAGTTCTGCCATTTTTTGAAGGTGTTTTTTTTTTTTTTCCCTCCCCCAACCCTTCTGCCATTTTCTCATCTATATTGTTGTTAGTTGCTGTCAAATCGATTCCTATTCATGACAATCTCATGTGTTACCGAATAACTGTCCCATAGGATTTTCTTGGCTATAATCTTAACTGAAGCAAATTTCCAAGTCTATCTTCAGAGGTGCTACAGAGTGGATTTGAACTGCCAACTAAGAGGTTAGTATCTCCCCAACCTATCTCAAGGAAACATAGATTAAAATTATGAGATATTGCATCTGATGTTTTGTATTATACAGCTAGATGTTATTTGGGCCATTAACTGACCCCATCCTGACCAACAAAGTCTAGGATGAGAACAGACTTTGGGATCCAGGTATGACTGTGTGCATGGTTTTCCTTTGCTCTTCAGTCATAGATTTCCATTCCCAAGAAGGCTTCAAAAGTCAAAAGTACATTTAAAAGAGCCCCAAATAGTCTAGGCAAAAGGGAATACACCCATGACCATATGTAAGTTTGGCAGATGATAGTTCTACATATATATTTGTGTGTGCTATAAGAATGTCCTTGTATATATAATAGTGCTAATTGTGGGGGGGAGTGGCAAAGTTATGATAACTTTTTAGCCACAGCTAATCACCCTGAGGAAGTGAGTTGTGGGACCCATGGGCTGGGGACCATGGTCATGGAGGACATCAAGCTCAATTGGCATAACATACTATACAGAAACACTGCTTTACATCCCACTTTGGTGAGTAGTGACTGAGGTCTTAAAAGCTTGCAAGTGACCATCTAAGATGCAACAGTTGGTCTTTTTATCCAGAGCAAAGAAGAATGAAGAAAATCAAAGATTCATGGAAACAATTAGTTCAAGGGACTAGTGGACCATGTGAACCTCAGCCTGTATGACCCTGAAACTTGGAAGAACTAGATGGTACCCAGCTACCGCTGTCAGTGACTTAGAAACGGATCATTGTAGGAGACTCTGGATAGAGTGGAAGAAAATTGTGGAATAAAACTCAAAATCATAAACAAGACTAGCCTTACTGTTCTGATAGAGAGAGACTGGTGAAACCCCTGACGCTATGACCTAATCACCCTTCAGTCCTGGAATTGAACTCACTCCTGTGGCTTCCAGCCAAACAACAGACAGGCATATAAGGTGAATATTTATACCAGGTAGGTATATTCCCTAGATCAACCAACATGAGAGATCAGAAGAGCAGTATTTGCACAGGTAGATAGGGCACAGTAATGCATAGGAAAGAAGGATGCAGGGAAAAGGTAACCACAGGGAGAAAGTGGGAAGGGAGTTATTATATTACGAGGATTGCAGTCAACATCATGAAACAAAACGTGTATTAACTCTTGTATGAAAAATGAATTTACTCTGTAAATTTTCCCCAAAATCACAATAATAAAAAAAAAGACCCCCAGTATAGTAACACAACTGGTAGTCACCAAGTCTAATTAATTCTACATCTTTAGTTCTTTTAGGGAGCTCTGATGGTATAGCAGCATTCAACTGCTAATCTAAAACTTGGTGGTTTGACTCCACCAGCCAGTCTGTGGAAAGAAGATGAGACAATCTGCTTGTGTCAAGATTTACAACCTTGGAAACCCTATGGGGCAGTTCTGCTCTGCCCTATAGGGTCTCTATGAGCTGGAATCGACTCAGTGGCAGTGGGTTTGTAGTTCTTTTATCAGCCTCTTTCTCTTCATCCATGTTGTCACTGCCCAATTTGGTAGTGATTGCATTACCATCTCTTCATCATAATGGGAAAAGGCTCCTTTTATGTCTTACCCCTTTGTATTGCCACTCTGTCATAAGTCTTGATGGTGTTACTTGTGCTATGATGGAATGCTTTTATATGGCCTTTTTAGCTATGGTCTTAATGCCTAAGGAGCTCTGGTGGCATAGTGGGTAAGGCATTTGGCTGCTAACCAGAAGGTCCATGGCTCAAACCCACCACCTGCTCCATGGGAGTAAGATGAGGCAACTACTTTTTTTTTTTTTTTTTTAATTGTGATTTGGGTGAAGATTTACAGAGCAAATTCACTTTCCATACAGCAGTTCACATATAGTTTGTCTCATGACATTGACCACAGTTTACCACAATGCAACAGCTCCCCTCCCACTTCCTCCCCATAGTTACCTCTTCCCAGTGTCCATCCCTCCATATACTCCTGCCCCCTGAGCTGTCTCCCTGTGCATAAGCGGCCTTCTTTCTCCCATGATTGTTCTCTCCAAGGAGTGTATCTGCTTGAGGTAAATGCTTAACTCATATGCCTGTATTTTGTTTGGCTGGAAACCACACGTGTGGGTTCGAGGCAATTTAGACTTTTGTAAAGATTTACAGCCTTGGAAACCCAGTAGTGGTCACTATGAGTTGGAATTGACTTGATGGCAGTGGGTTTGGTTTGGGTTTTTGTAATGCCTACCAGATGATTAGGTGGGACCATGAAAATAAGGTGTATGGAACCCTGACAAGGGA